GTTGGGGGGGGGGGGGGGTGCTTTCCAGATATTCTGTCACCACTTTGGACTTTAATAACTGCTATGGGAAGGAGAATCATAATACCTTTTATCCCTGTCAAATCCCCTAGTCTGTCTGCCTCCTTAAAACAGTATTTCTATTTTTGTCTTTCTGTGCAGGAAGTTATGGACAAACCTGTTAGCCAGAGGCTGTTTGTGACCAGAATTCAGCAAGAGTTTGAATGTGACACATTTCTACCAGACATTGATCTGCAGTCATACAAGCTGCTGCCAGAGTAAGAAAGCTGTTATAATATAATCTGAACTTAATTATGTGCCATTGTGTGATATCATTATAAGACACCAAACACAAGATTTTGATGTCTTGCTGCTTTGACTTGTTGACAGTCAACTCATTAGCTGCACTTGGATTTCAGTGCACTTCACATCATTTATTTGGCACATAGTGGTTATTTGTCTTAGTACAAATGTAAAATCCTACATGTAGCTCTACCCTAAAGGCTTTAGGGGGATTTTTTTCATTTGGTTTATCTTTAGAGGTGAAAATGTACAAATGCATATTCAGACATCAGCATATAAAGAGCAAAGCTTTTTGGGCCCCCAGGAGGTATTTGCCATAATGTGCTGGTATACCCACTTACCTTTCTGGTGATCCCCTCCAGCACTGATATCAGCTCTCTGCTGGCACTGCCGTCTTCCAGGTTCAGTGTCTTCAGACTCTTGATTGGCTGCGCACGGGAGTTGCTTGATTTTGGCACAGGTCCTTGCCGAGCTTGTGAACTTCAGCCTGAGGCAGAAAGGGAGCAATTATGACAGAAGAGGCATACAGAGTCTCTTCTGTCATAAAAACCCTACCTGTCTAGGTTTTGGTTTCTGTTGTTGTTTTTCTGATTTAAAGGAGAACTATGGGGGCAGGGCTTTTTCCCCATAATTCTCCTAAGGGTAACGGGAGGACACAAACTAGCGTCCTCCCGTCACCCAAAGCTCAGTATACCGCGAGCTACAGCTCGCGGTATACTGAGACGCCGCAGCCGGAACGGATCCCGACAATTATGTCTGGATCCACCCAGCTGCGTGTGTGACAGCTGGCTCAGGTATGTGTTCGCTCACTTCCCGATCTACTGAACCGACCTGTGACAGTTTCATTGTCACAGGTCGGCTCAGATTATGAGGCTGAGTAAAAATCACTCCCCTCATAATTCTCCGTTTAGTAATATCTACTGTGTAAGTGGAGATGAACACCGAAACAAATGGTTTTCCAGCTCATTGCTGATTTTCCAATGTCATCAGATGCTATCATAGCGAGCTTGCTGTACATGTTGAAATCTGGTTGTATAATCTCAAACTACTATGTAGTGCAAAGACCTACCTGGTTGGATGAGTTTTTTACACAATCCCTCATATTGCTTGATTTTGGTAATGGGGATTGCACAGATTGTAATTTGTATGGCCATTTTAAGGAAAAACAGATTTCCACAACATTGTTTTACTACACTACTTTGTCAATTTAAATTGATAACCATCAGGAATCCATTGCATTTTTTTTTTTGTTTCTTTCAGCTTGAGCATGTTAACCCCCTTTTAAATCTGTTTTCTCTTACACAGGTACCCAGGTATATCCTCCGAAATGCAAGAAGAGAACGGTATTCAGTACAAGTTTGAAGTCTATGAAAAGATGCTATAATTGCTCATGTTTAATGTAAATTTGCTGTACAGTAAACATTTTCTACTGCTTTTCAATGGCTGGTTTTTTTTATTTAAAAAGCACTCCTTTTACCTAAATCCGGAAAACATTTGAGGCTTCAAGGAGAGCACAAATACATTGATATGTCAGTTCAAAGAAAATAAGCCATTAATCGGATTCAAGCATTCATATGTAAATTGAAATGCTTTTTGCCTGTGTCAGCTTTTTGTTTTTAGAAGAAACACCGAAAAATAGCCTATACACAAGAACATATAAGAACATTCAATACTGTCGTATTCTGAGCTACCTTTCCCTTCATCTGAAGTTGCAGCTCTGTTGGCTATTAAAACAACTACAAACTCCCCAATATTACGATATGCTATCACTTAAAAGTGCCTAATTCACATACTGTTGATTTACTGTACATGGGCAGAAATTATTCAGAGTGCTTCTGGTAAAACAAAGACACTGTTAATGGTGTAAAGTCTAACCCTCCTCAGGTGGGCTGTGAAGGGTCTCTTTCCCTGAACCTTTGGTGCTCCTCTTACTTGCCGCCTGAAGTGCCATCAGTACCAGAAGGACACATTGCAGCCAACCAGCCTGCCCCTGGGACATCCCGCCGTCCTATTGCATGCTATGGCCAGCCCCGAGCTGCTTCTCCTCCTCCTCCTGTACAAAGCCGGCCAGACCGCACCTCACTGGGCCCCCACATCCACCAGGCAGCTCTCCAATTAGGCAGCCGCTCTTGGGGCCTCACGGACGCTAATTCGTCTGATTTAGGCAGCCTCTGCTGCCTGAGGGCCGGTTCACGCCACAAAGTCTGCGTTCCAGAGTGTACGGCCTCTAGAATGCAAGGTGGCCGGCTCCCTGCATTAAAGTTAATGGCACCGCAGCCACGACCCCGCCCGCTGTGCGATCGACCTCACCTGGAATGCAGGCACATTAGTGGAATCAGTGCTTGTGTTCCGGTCCAGTGTGATCTGCAGCATTTTTGTAGATCACACTGGACCGGAATTACGCCCCTCGCACTGCGGGCGTGGCTGCAGTGCCATTGATTTCAATGCACCAACACGCCCCTGAACGCAGGGAATCAGAGCTTTATTTTTGTGGTCTTTAATCACCATTGGGTTTGGGTTTTTTTGTTAGAAAGAATATAGTACAGAAAATTAAAAAAAACATTTCCCTATGTTATGAAACCTTTACTACCTAATTTTTTGGTGAGATGGGGTCACATTGGCTAAATAGATACCAAACGTGTCAAACCTTAAACTTGCATGCGCTCCTGAAATCACAAAATACCATACCCAAAATTGCCCATAGGCGACACTATAAAAGCTTTTACCACTCATTAGTTTAGTGTTAAGTTATTGATGGCCCTAGAATTATTGCTCACATTCCGATGTTTGTGGTGATATGTAACGTCTGGTGCCATCATCATTTTCGCACGTAGGCGTACACAGCGCGTGTTTGTGAAGGTGGGGGACTTTAAAAAAGCAAGCCGTCCATCCATTTATATATAAAACGGGCATGAGGCGAGCAGTTAAAATTAGAGGATTCTGTTTTTTCTTCCTACTTTTGCGACTTCTAGCCTAGGTTCACATAAACTACCTGTATCTTTTCCAGATGATTTATGTTTAAAGAAAAAAAAAATGGTCTATTTCTCCTGAAGTTGATCCTCTGATTTTTCTCGTCTTAACAGAGCAATGACAAGAAATTGGAGAATCTTTCTCATATCATTATTCATTAACTTGTTCATCTCTCCAACCATTATTGGAAAGATGAACAAGTTACGGTTCTTATTTCCCAGACTTTGGCTACTTGGACAAAATCTTTAAGTACAGAACAGGCAACTGCAGGGAAAGAAAGGTGGAAAGAAGCGCTGCAACCCTGGGATTTGCTGGAACGGTATAGGTGCGACCTTTAAAAGAAATAAAAAAAAAAAAAAAATTAAAAACCCACATTTGTGTTGTTTTCTGGTTTTTTAAGCAATTTACTTGGTGCAATAAGGTTCTTGATACTTTTGTTCTTCTTGAAATTTATAAATGGTCTATTTGGCAGGGAGGGTCCTAACTTCGGATCTTTGAGTAGGATATGCCAATTTTTGTGTATGACTTTTTCAATGGCTTTATAGCTATTATTGTAAGTAGTGATGAATCGCACTTGGTTGTTAGTTGAGAATTGTCTGCGGTCACTGGATTCAGTACTGTTCGTTTGTAGATAGGTTGAGAAGGCATTTGTAATCAAATCATTAGGGTACTTTTTCTCTTGAAATTTTCTGGTGAGAAGTGAACTGGAGGAGCAGTAGTCAGCTTTGTCGGTGCAATTTCTGCTGAGTCGGCAAAACTGACTTTTGGGAATATTATTCTTCCAGCGGGGGTGGTGACAGCTGTGGTAGTGGAGGTAGGAGTTGCCTCCTGTGGGTTTTATGTGATTTTTGGTAATGATTTGGTTATTTTTTGTAGTCAATTCGAGATCTAGAAAAACGAGTTCGGTGGTGCTGGTGACGTGAGTGAAGGAAAGGCCTAATTGGTTATTGTTGCAATGTTGTACGAATTCAACTACTTTTTCTGGTGCGCCTTCCCAGATGATGACTATGTCATCTATGTACCGCCCGAAGAAAACTAGGTGTTTGGCATATGGATTGTTTTCCCATATATGGTGGTCCTCCCAGTACCCCATGGTAAGATTTGCATAGCTGGGTGCATAATTTGCACCCATGGCCGTCCCATTGATTTGTAAATAAAAATTTTCTAGAAAGCAGAAATAATTATGTTGTAATGTGAACTCGGTGCACTCCATGATGAATTTTGCTTGATTATGGTTAATGGCGGATTTGGAAAGATAGAATAGGAGGGCCTTTAGGCCTACTGTGTGTGGAATGGATGTGTATAGAGAGCACACATCTAATGACACCCAGCAGTATGTGTCATTCCATGCGTAGTTGGATAGAGTTTGGATGAGGTGACCTGAGTCTTTGATGTATGATGGTAAGGCTGTAACTATGGGTTGAAGAAATTGATCAATGTAAATGGACAATCCGCTGGTAAGGCTGTTGGTACTGGCTATTATTGGGCGCCCCGGTGGGTTTTCAATGTTCTTATGTATTTTGGGTAAATGGTAGAAATAGGGCGTACTGGGATACTTGGGGTATAAAAACGATCTTTCTTTTTTTGTAATGATGTCACTATTGTAGGCTTGTTCAATGATGACATTGAGTTCCTCAGTGTATGGGATCAGTGGGTCTTGTGGAAGGGGTTTGTAAGTATTTTCGTACTGCAGGGACTTGATCCACATTTTATTGATTGTGGATCATATATCTGTTGCTTTTTATTTCATATGTGATTTCATTTCTTGATGCTTGTCGTCCAGAGACAAGGCAGTCTGCTGCAAAACAGAAGTTCTGCCCAGCATGAGAAGAGATACAGATTTAAAAGGAAGAGCAGCAAAGAGAAGGGAAACTACCATGGATTACAGTAAGGCACACATTACAGTATTGGTTTATGTTAAAAAAATCTGAGGGTTTAATGTCACTTTAAGGCCTGTAGATCTTCTACTCGTAAGATTTATCACCATACGTGAAAGGTTTGTTTTTGATGGTGTGAGTCCTTGGTTTCCCCATGTACTTTTTCTATGTTGCAAATGTTGTCTTCCCTTCAACTTGGGGTAGATCAATGTTTAGCCCTATGTACCAGAAAGGTCGGCTATCTGCCTTGTTGGTCCTTTTTACAACGTCCTCGTCTAATTCTCTGATTCATACTTGTATTCAGGGAGCTCCAGGTGTGGCTTCTCCTGTTAGGTCTCCTCTTCCTCTGTGGGATTTAAACTTTGTTTTAGCTGTTCTACAAAAACCTGCTTTTGAACATATCCAAGTCCTTTCTTTGTCTTTGTCATTTAAAAGGGTTGCCTTCTTGTGTTCATTACATCAGCTACAAGGTTTTTTGAGCTGTCTGTTTTTTTTGGCGAACCCCATTTGGTTCTTCATAAGGTCAAAGTTGTTTTAAGTCTAGGTTTCCTTTTTACCCAAGGTGGTTTTGGCCTTTCATTTCAATGAGCTCTCTTTAGTGTTTGAATGTTGTGCAAGCTATTAGAGTTTATCTGTTAGCCACAGCTCCCTTTTTGGTGTTCGGATTGTTTTTCTTCTACCTGAAGGTCCTAGAAAAGAGTGTTCAGCTTCTAGATCTGCTATTTCTAAGTTTGTCAAGTTGTCCTAGCTTATGTGTTGCTAGATAAGGTTCCTCCTTTTCCTGCTTCTGCTCATTCTGCTGGGCAGTACTACTTGGGCATTTCAGAATTGAGCTTCTGTTGCTCAAATTGTGGGGGAGCAGCTTGGTCTTCTGTTCACTCTTTTACTAAGTTTTATAAAGTTAATGTTTCTGCCTCTTTTGATAGTTGTGGCAGAAACGTTCTTCAGGTGGCTGTTTGAGTATTTGAGCGGATTTTTCTAGTCTTCATGGTGCCCGCGCCTGTTTTTAGACTGCTTTTGAATGTCGCTATGTCTCAGAATTCCTTAGAACTATGTCCCTCAATGGAAGATAGCGAAAATAGGATTTTTTTTCTTGCCATAAAATCCTTTTCTCAGAGTTCATTGAGGCCCATAGCTCCCTCCCCTCATTTTCCTTTCATACTGCTTGCTGCAGCTGGGAGGTGGGATTGGTTAGGTGGGAGGGCGCACAGCTCCTTTGTCTCGATAGAGATACATGAGTTGCCCGCACACTTCTTCCTGGAGATCTGGTCGCTTCAAATACTGGCATATTCCTGCTATATGGGGCAGCATGCCCCATGTGAATGAGGCCTAAGAAACATGGGGACATCAAGTGAGATCAGTCCAAACAGGAAGTCACTCATACCCCAATGCCAAGTCAATCTTGTTTATTGACTAGAAATAGTGTAGCATTTTACAGCTGTAAAATGCTACACTATTTCTAGTCAATAAACAAGATTGACTTGGCATTGCATAGGAGTGCGAATGACTTCCTGTTTGGACTTGTGTTTTGCAGAGGCATCTGCTGTCGCTGCCGCACCCACCCTTTTTTACCTGGGC